CGGTGGCGTCTCCAAACTGGAGAGATCCCAAAGTGGGGTGGGCACCACCTTGGGCACCCTGCTGTGGGTGAGCTGCTGGAGCAGGGGAGTTGGATGAAATGATCCCCAGAGGTCCCTTCCAACCCCACCATGCTGGGATTCTGGGATTTATCAGAGAGCTGGGTTTGGCAGAGGGATTTGTGTGCACTCACTGGCTGCAGGTGTCTCTGGAGGCAAATGACAGGCTGGAGTTTCACCCCATGCAAAAGTCTGTCATTTCCAAGTTTATCTGGAGTGTGAAAGCCCTCCTCTTCTAATTGGGGTGGAAAGGCTCTCAGTGAATGTGTGCTAGCCCTGGGTCTCCAGCTCCAAACAAGCAGGCTGTGATCTTTGCCTTCCTAAATGACTAATGGGAGTAAATTTGAAGCCAGGGACCCAGCAGGTAATTGCAGCAAAACGCAGGGGAGCGAGATCTCCTGGAAGCCCTGGCAGGAGGAAATGCTGCCTGGTGGAAAGGGTTTGCACCAATGATTACAGGCAGTCCCTCGCTTTGAGGTGAGGGTGACAGGTACACGTCCAACAGTCTTGCTGGCACCGAGACATTATTCTGCAAGGAAGGTGGATCCAACACATAGGGCAGGTTTTTTTTGGCCCAGGCAGCTGAGTGGTACCTTGTGTGTCACCTGAGTTGCCTTTTGGTGTAAGCAGAGCCTGCAACTTCAGCTTCACAACCTCAGCTTCTGCTGCTCAGACAGCTCCCCAGAAGGCAAAGGTCTTCAAGTATGGGTAGATATGTAGTGCTCAGAGTTCATCCCTCAACGTAGCTATTCTCATTGTTAGTGTTATTCTAATGCTGTAATGAAGACCTTTAACATGACTACAGTTTGAGGTTTGGTTTTGCATCTTACTGTGGTCTAATAAGCTTAAACAGTTTATGATACAATTCCCCTTTTTTGGTCAAAGAAAAAAAAATACGTAGGTACCACGTAGAGATCTGTGGAGTATTTCTGTGAAGAGCCAGGTGTAGTGTGGTCGCTGTGCTGGAACTCAGTGGGAACAGCAGAAGAAAACAACAACAAAAATTAATTTGAGACGGAGGGAAGAAATTATTTATTTACCAGAACCTCTGCAAAACACCACGCCCAAAATACATGGGCTTTAAAGTTATTTTTCAGATATGCTTGAATATTTTTTCAAATATGCTTGAATGTTTTTTTCAAATACGCTTGGATAATTTTATCAAATATATTTGAATATTTTTTCAAATATGCTTGAGTAATTTTTCAAGTATGCTTGAACGTTTTTTCAAACATGTTTGAGTAATTTTTCAAATGCAGCTTTTAATTCTATTTCAAGCTGTTACAGTACAATTAGAATTTATCTACCCATGGCTCTATGTGTTGGATCCACCTTCCTTGCAGAATAATGTCTCGGTGCCAGTGAGACTGTTGGACGTGTACCTGTCACCCCTCACCTCAAAGCGAGGGACTGCCTGTAATCATTGGTGCAAACCCTTTCCACCAGGCAGCATTTCCTCCTGCCAGGGCTTCCAGGAGATCTCGCTCCCCTGCGTTTTGCTGCAATTACCTGCTGGGTCCCTGGCTTCAAATTTACTCCCATTAGTCATTTAGGAAGGCAAAGATCACAGCCTGCTTGTTTGGAGCTGGAGACCCAGGGCTAGCACACATTCACTGAGAGCCTTTCCACCCCAATTAGAAGAGGAGGGCTTTCACACTCCAGATAAACTTGGAAATGACAGACTTTTGCATGGGGTGAAACTCCAGCCTGTCATTTGCCTCCAGAGACACCTGCAGCCAGTGAGTGCACACAAATCCCTCTGTCAAACCCAGCTCTCTGATAAATCCCAACATCCCAGCATGGTGGGGTTGGAATAGAAACAGCAATGCCATGCAGAAGCATCCACTGACTGAACTAAACAACCTCCAGCTATAGGTTCAGCTTCTGTTTTAAGCAATAAGCCAGAAATTGCTGATACCAGGAGGGCATTAACAGGGTTCACTCTCAGAAGCCTGGAACCAGGTGCCCTAGATCGTTGTGTGAACTTCACATGGCTGTGTGGGATGTGCAGGCTGTGGCTAATCCTGTCAATAAGCATCTGTATTAGTAAAATTAGCTAAGAATGAGATCTGAGATAAAAGCAAGAGCTATCAGAGCTGTTGAGAGAAAGGAAGGGTTGCAGGAGGGCTCCGAGTTGCAAGAACTTTTACAGTTTTTTACCTATTCCAAGCCTCTGGGGCATCCATTTCTTTATAATGAGGTAATTGCTTACAATTCAAAATTTATTGCAGTTGGTACTGTTCTTGCCAGGGAAACTTCTGTTTTCTCTGTGTCTGTTTCTCCATGCAGAGATTTTGGGGTCAGTTTTGTGTCTGGAGCTCTTACATGGGGATAACTGGGAGTAGGTGCTTCCAGTTCAATTTTGATGAGGAATTTCTTTGGTTTTCAGGTGTTTAGTCACTCTCTGGTGTCTCATGAGAATGTTCTCACATTATGCAAGCAGTTTTAATTATAAACTGAACATATAGGTCTGTCCTTGATTATACAAAAAGAAAAAGGCTGCAAACTTCTGATTCACTCACTTTAACTCCTCTCTAAGATCAGGCCAATCAGTCATTCTGGCTGTATGCTAAAGTGGCTGGAGTTAGAACAATAATTATTGTAATTATTTTCCAGGAAGGCTGCAGACAGCTCTGAAAATGTTGCTTATTTTCAAGCTCATAGCCTGATTTTAAAAGTATTTTGGGTTTTCTAAGCAGAGCTTAGATAAAAGAGAAAAAAAATTGGTTCAAATAATCTATGGAGACTTGTGCAAGTGAATTTCTCAGCTAGCTGCTAGATACCAGCTTCTGTAGAGGAAACTTTTTTATAAAATAAACTTCTAATCCCTTAGAATATGAAGCAATGTTGAGGAATGGACAGAGTTGGTGAAGCTAAAAATGGCTAGGGCAATTTATTTGAGAATCTCCTTGAAATAGGAGATGGCTTAACCCAAACTTTGAGCTATTTTTTTTTAAAAAAATTAAAAATAGAAGAGCTGTAATTCCTGCAGCCAGGAAGAGTGACATGAATTTTAGAAACCAACGACTGACCTGCACTCCTGATTCTTAATAACATATTATTACAGAAGTGATATGGGAATTCAAATATGGGTCAGATCTTACATTTGCACATAATATGATACTTTGCATGCCTAGCACTTTAATAAAAGCTTCTGATAAACTTTGAAGTTCTCAGGAACCTATGACCAAGCCAAACAAGTTTCTGTTCCCAGGGGATCTTCACAAAGACAGTCCTAATTTGGAGATGATTTGCATGTCTCAGTAGTTAAAGTGCTAGGAAAGCAAAAATCTCAGTGCTAATCTCTATGTCTAGGATTGCTTCTGTATTTTACCCCTTTATTATTTATCCTGCAAGGTCCCCCTATAGAAAAGCCTCAATTTCATTGTGCTATCCAAAGACTGCTGGAAAGTGGCAGAAAAATGGGGTCCAAGTGAAGAAATTGTCACTTTGTCTACTTTTGACGCTTCTCCATGTGGCCTCTAATGCATCTGTACCAGATGGGGCAGGATGAATGCTGAAATATGAAAAGAAGAATCCTTGTAGGTGACTTTTTCTGCCTCCACAGCTGAGTTCTGCAAGCCTGATCTTCTGCAGAACACTTCCATGTGAGCAAATGTCACCGAGTGATGCAACATGGTTATGCCTGTGGAAGTTGACCTAGAAACAGTTGCTGAAGTTTTGAGGTCTGAGAAAAGAATTCAAGGGGATTTGTGGATTCTTTAGATAAAGGACTTCAAAGAGCTCAGGCACAGAACTAGACACAGCCAGGAAAAATCCTATATTAATCACAGAAGGGCAGGGTCTAGAAGGGACCTCTGGAGATCATCTCGTCCAACCTCTCTGCCAAAG